CCGCCGTCACCGATGTGTCGAGTTGCCTGCACACCGTCTTTCCCGAGAAGGATGCTCCCGCTCCTGGCGACCAGCCCATGACCCCGACATCTTCTAAGCAGCCACTGAAGCCCTTTGCTTCCCTACAAAACCTTGTGGGCGGAAGCCGTGGCCAGAAGCATCTTCATCGCGAGATTCGCTCGGCCTCAATCAGCTCGGAGCTGCCTCAGGTGGATGCATCGAGCATTGAGCCGCAAGAGGGTGCGCTGACGTTGAAGAGGACGGTCGCCAAGATGGAGAATGCTGGGAGTATACCACTTGTTGAGGGCTTCCGGGTTGACGTTGGGCAGTTCAAGGGATGGCTGGATGCTGTGGGTAGGGGAACAGGCAAGCTCATTGTTTGGAGGAAGTAGTAGTCTACGACTCTACCATCCGCGCCGGTTGCCTAATGTGTGGCATCAGTGGCTTGCAGTACAAGTGGGCGAAGGATTGAAGTTGGGATGGTCGTTCGGAACAGATGCTTCGAGCGAGGACAGTGTGTGAGCTTGCTCTCGATTGATACAGCGATCTCTTGAAGCTAGTCATCGTCCTGTCTTGGCGGCTCCGTTCTAACTACACACTATTAGCTACGACCACCCCATGCATAGAATTTACTTCTGCCCCAAAGCTATCCCAAGAGACGACGCGATCGTGATGCTCTTGAAGCCACCAGGTTTAATGAGATTTGATGTAATTTGCTTACATTGAAGTGAGGCGCGTCATTGCGACACATGGTGGTCCCTTATCCAATGATTCACGTGTTTCCTGAGCCGATACAACACGGCCTCTTCGTCCATCGTAGGCAGGCCACTTTCATCAAGCCGCCTGTTAACGTCTTCTGCGAGTTCCATTCGAACATCTTCGGGAATATCCATCCAGTAGCGGAGTCCTTTTCTGGGAATCTTTTCCATGTTTGCATTGACCGCCTCGCGAAGTACTTTCTGGAAAGTGGGTTAGAACATGTGACAACGCTCCGTGTCACCGAGCGAATGCGTGACATTGTACTTACATAAGGGAATGATCTCTGAGCTACCTTCTCCCAGGCTTCGTACTGATCTGCGACTGTTTTCGGTTAGCATGGATAAGCGTCATGTGCGCCGAGTATGCATACAGCGCTGATAGTGGCGCAGCTCTGGTAGAACCTTTGATACACGCCACTCGATCCCTTCATCATCTACAGGAGGAAGCCCTTCCTTCACTACAGACTCCCTGATCGTTTGAATTAGATATTCCTTCTCTTTTGCAGTGAGCTCGGTCAACGTGGAGCGCGTGAAGTCTTTGCAAACTGCGAGTGAGACACGCTGCGGGAAAGTTAGCACTATAAGCGCGTCGCGACACCTGATTGAGCGAGAGTTGTACCAGGAAGATTGGCCATTGTTTCTCAGATAGTCCCAGAGTTTCTCTGACGGTACTTCTGCTCATGCGCCGTGGGATATGGGTCCCGGTTGCCCAGAGAAATGCTGTGATCCTCATTGCGCGTGTTATCCAACGCGCAAGGTTGGCAACATCGCACGGGCTAGATCAACTCGGAAATAAGAAGATTCCGGTGTCGTGGCATCCGGTCTGCTCGTACTTGGGTCCAAGGCTGTCGTGTGGCGGTATGGTGTTGGAGATGTGGGGAATGCATGGCGGCGTTCCATGTCGCGTTTGACAGAGTGCAGACATCATGACCCTTGCATTAGCCTATTTTGGGACCACGCTAGCATCCTAGCGGCAAAAAACAATCCGATCCACCACACAGCGTCGTCGGCTTCGCGCGCAACACATGATGGCCCCAATGCAGCGCCAATTTATGTACGATCCTACAGTTTGAGAGCCTCACCGAGAGCCTCAGCCGCTTATCGCGCATGTTCTATCGAACTTAACCCCCGTTCCGAGGCGGGGCGGTGCCCGCTGCAAGGTACCATGCCGCATGCGTGTGATTGGGGCCAAAAACGCAGGTGGCAGGCAGCATATTTCATGCCCTGTCCTGAGAATCCTTCCTAGTACCCGTGTAGCTGTTCAGTCTTTCCTTTCTCTAATTCGTTTTTCTTTACTGCTTTTCAACTTTGGCGACGATACTTGCCTGTACTCCCGAGCGCCATGGCTTATGAACCCGTTGGACCCCAGGCAAAAGGTCCACACGTGTCAGTGGAATATGATGGCGGCCTGAACACCCAATACGATTCCGGGGCGTACAACACCGCCCCGCATGTTCCCCAGGATAGCGATACGGCATACAGTGTTGATGATACCAAGGGCGTATCGCAGAAATGGCCTTCGGATTTACGGAAAGTTGGGAGGATTACGCCATTGAAAGCACTGATTCTGGTTTTCGATGTGATTTTGGCTTCAACGCCTATCATGTTTCTGGGTGAGTACGATCGATCTCAGCGTGACCACACTGAGCTGTTTCAACAATTACATCGACCACTTGCTGACATGCTATAGCTCTGGCCCTTATCGCTGCCAGGTTGAACGGAAAAGAAGTGTCGGACTACGGTACCAAACTGGAACAAACACTTCTCCTATCACCGACAATCTTCCCCCTAATCTTCGCGGCCTTGATGGGAAGGTTTTTCCGACATGTTGGTCTCTTCCTTGCTCAACGAGGCACAACTCTCGGCCGTCTTGAACAGCTGATTGGTTGCCAATCCGTCTTCTCCGCACTCGAACGTCAATTTTGTCTGAGATCTTGGTCTATGCTTGGACTTGCATCCGTCTTGATTTGGCTCCTTTCGCCAGTCGGTGGACAGTCTGCACTTCGTCTTATTGACCAAGAGATTGGAAACGTCCAGTTTACCAAACAAGTGCGCTACCTCCATCCGACGACGTTTATGGATTCATTAATGGAGACTGCCAATACCCTGAGTAAGTTTACATGTGCCAAGCTCAATTCAAACGTAAACTAGCTCTATACTTACACTATTCGTAGGTTCAGGCCGTAGCTCCTTCACTCCAATTTTCCTCACATCTATACTCAGCAGCACCAGATACCGTACTACACCCATGGACCTATGGGGAAATGTCAAACTCCCGCTCTACCGCACTATCGAGAACAGTACGTCTGACGAGTGGAAGTTTGTGCCTAACGGTACAGCCGACAACATAACATACGCTTCCCTAATCGGTATCCCGATAGCCGGACCTCCCTCTGTCGGCATTAGCTCTTTCAACATCGAAGCTCGCCAATTTGACGTGACCTGTTCAAGCAACAATGCATCAAGAGGAGAACCTATAGATTTTGTGTCAAAATATACGTGGCAACTCCAAGTAGTTAACGATACAGCGCCTCCGCCTTGCAAAAAGAACGGGACGTCCTGTGCGCCCCCGGTTTGTGCCAGTTACCCCTGCCCAATCCGGAGTGAATCTCTCGTCGATTTGGATACAGAGAAGTACTCAGTGGCGAATTGCGGGCTTTCGTTCGAGAAATATGAAGTCGGAGTGCGCTGCAATGGGACGGAGTGTGCCGCTTATAAGATGAGGAAGATGTACTTGTATGACGAGGACTACCCAATAGGCTACGATATCGCGCTAAGGAGGCAGTTCATGGCTACCGCACTTCTCGCCATGACGAGCGCGGACAACTTCAACATGCCTGCTGCAATAGCTCGAGGCGCGACGACTATGGAGAAATGGCTGCAGGACCCACTCGACTTCACCGGCGTATTCTTTGGAAATGTCGAACTCTACAAGCTGTCGCCGCAAGTCTTCGGCGACCGTCTGACTATAATGTACAATACATTCTGGCAATCCACATTCGCCAGCAGAGCGATCGGCGGGAATTTACCAGCATCCGTGATGGAAACCGGCGCTATGAACTTCACTCAGGCACAACGTGCAGACGCCAATATTACATTCGTCGCGACCGAAGCCAATGTATCGCAGGATACGACGCCAATGTACAAAACAGATTGGAGATGGTTCGCAGCCTTATTGGTTTGCTCATTCATACTGCTTGCCGCCGCGTACACCGGACTCGTACTTAAGTACATCACGATCGCACCGGATATCATCGGCTATGCATCTTCGCTGACGCTTTTGAACCCTTATGTTCCTACGCCTACTGGAGGAACTACCTTGACTGGACTGGCGAGAACAGCGCTGATGCGCGACTACCCTGTGCGCATAGGAGATGTCTGCCCGAATGAGGCCGTGGGCGCGATCGCATTTGCAAGAGCCGACAGGAACGTAGGAAAGCTAGACAGGAAACGATTATACATATGAGCCTACAAAGTTGTAGAATAGCGGTGTTCCTGGCACTACCTGAAGATTATAGAAGAACAATAATGTACATCACATATCATCAATCGCAGTCATGGCTGATCATGCCTCGGAAGGTCGCGAGTCAGATCTCGCGACACACGGCATGCCACCTCATGTGTGTCGATGCAACTCACCACAAACTCTTCGATCCATCTAACGACATTCTCGAACACTATAACGTATCACATATTGTCGCGCCGCGGCTATAATCACCACATGAAGCACACCGAGACAAACGACGCCATACCCACGCGGCTCGCGGATTCCAGGATCATGGCTGCAAGCAGCTGTCACCACCTGTCAAACCTGCGCTATAAACATTTTCATTCTTAACAGTAGCTTGAGTGGTGTAGTTGTTTAGTCGCGTAGCCGATTCGAAGGTAATGAGGCATTTGGTGTGTCGGCTCCAAGACCTGCGGGGTTTCAGGTGCCTGAGGCAGCAGTTTGGAACACCAACACCGACGGACGCTGGCATTGCAACTCCGCCTAGCAATTTTGCGAGAAGCGATGGAGATCTGGATGTAGGCGCCGTGGGGGTAGGTGTGCGAATATATATTGACTGAAGATGCCTCTGGGAAGACTCCATCATCAAGCCAACACTCATTCATCTCACGTTCACTTCATTTCATTCTCTTCACTTCACTTCTTTAGCGCTCGGCCGCATCATTCATTCAATACCACCTTAAGATACCCATCACTTTAACGCACTTTCATTCCAAATACTTCGATTTGTCAACATGAAGTTCACCAGCACCCTCCTTGTTCTTAGCGTCGCTGCTCTCAGCAACGCACGCGCCATCTATGTTCGCCAGAACAACGCGCAGACCTTCACCGGCGCTCTCGGCGGTGTCGCAGCTACACCCATCCTCGACTCCGGCATCGCCAACCGCCCCTTCAGTGTCAAGGGTGACACTTTTGTCAACCTTTCGGGCGCTCTCCAGCGCTCTTGCGACCAGCAGTTCAACGGCTGCGCGAACTTGGCCAATGGTGGACAGGGAGACTTCTCCACTCAGGACTGCCAGGCTCAGAAGCGTGAGTTCGATGATGATAGTCTTTTGGAACGATGCTAATCAGGTGGTAGAACAATGCGATGCTGCAGGCGCTGGCAACTAGAATTACCCTTTGAGGCAGTGAACCGGGGTATGCTGGAGGTCCTTCAGCGGTCAGCGAGGGGCTTGATGCTTTGCGACGAAGGGGCCGTGCAGCATACATACTCTTACGATTAGACGCAACGCAATTTATGAGATGACAATGAACTTTCGCATTTGCACCCCTTGTGTCGATGATAGTGACTCAGGTTCATGTCTGCACTAGCCCTTCTCTTTCTCTGCTTCATCCTTCCCAGTAGAATCTCTCTTCGGCAAGTTCTTGAGGCACGGCGCATTGAACAGACGACCGCTCCATGCACCGCGTGCTGTGCCAACAGCTACTACGCACCACAGCAGGATGACGGCTACGGCGAAGATCGTCCCTAGAACTCTGAAGAACGGACTCGGGAAGATGTTGCCAAGCTCCATCGTACTCAGCGCCATGACCCCAAGGGGAAACGTGAAACCCCACCAGCCCATGTTGAACGGAAAAGGCCGAGACTTGTAGATAGATGCCAGTGCGAAACAGAGCCAAGTCAGCCCAAACGCCCACATGATGAGTGCCAGAAAGACCCCGAAGACGAAGAACATGTCGCCTGCCATGGGAATATCTGAGAAGAAATCCGTCTCTGGAAAGACCCGCCTGCTAACCGAACCAAGATAGGTTATGGAATAGCCGCCCATGCCCAAGGGACCTAGTGGCAAGAAGGATGACACAACAATCTCTCGTGGTGGTAGCTTGTGCAAAGCCAGGCGTGTATAGTACATGACTAGGACGGTCATCGCTAGTGGTGTAGACATACCCCACATAATGTACGAAGCAATTATTGTACCGAGAGCATGTTGCGGGTCGGTCAAATGCTCTGCGACTCTGGCACCGGTCCCTGCAGCGACTATGGATGCAGCGATGGGTAATAGCTGAGCTGCTGTGATGCGATCCAAAGCCTGACGATCAGAGGCGGAGATCAGTAGGATCGTGAGCGATATCGTGACTGAGACAGCGACTACAGAATCGATCATCCAGCAGACCCAAGCAAAGGTAACGGCCCAGGGCCCCCAATATGGGATGCATATTGAGCACCAAGCTGAGATAAGGGTAGCGAATCCCATCGGAATGGTTCCAAGGAAGAGCGAGTTGACACTGTCCGCGATCATGACGGTCCATATCTCAGGGTATACCACATATCGAAAGACAGAGACGGAGAAAGCGCATGCGAACAGGATAGTGTTGAGTCCAAAGAAGATCACCGCAAGCCAGTACAACCAGTCTGCTTTGAACGGTATAGCGACAAGAAGTAGAGAAACTACTCCCGTGCCCATGGTCACGGAGAACCATGACGGCGAAAAGTTCCTGACAATCCTGCGCCAGCCTACCTATGCTTGTTTAGAGTACATTTCCAAGCCTCGTGTGTTGAAAACGTACATCGTATTTTGTTAACTCCCCAGATGCGACCGTTGTATTGGAACCGGTAGATTGAGCAGCTGACGTCGATGTCGGGCCCTGAGACTTCAGCCGTCGTATGGGAGCCCGCTGGGCCGCGGGCGCAGTCAGAGCAGGATTATCCGACGCGACGCGATCCAGTTCGTAGTCGTCCATCTATGCGATGCGCTGTCCGTGTGTGCATAGCAGTCAGGCCGGCTGGAAATGCCATCTTGGACAAGACACCACTTTAGCGATGACGATGCAGTCGCCGCGCCGCCATTGCCCGCTCGCAAATCCCAGAGCCCAGATCTAATCACGTGGGTAGCACGGACCGATCAGTTTCACAACACTGAACCTCGTCGAAAAGGCTGAACCTCACTTCAATCTTCTCCGCAAACTTCCCTTGATCACGTCAGCTCCCTGTCGTCACCCCCGCATCCCCATTCTCTGGTCCCGCAAGCAGCGAGTGCAGGCCTGTACCATACTCAATAATCCTTCGGTCTCGCTTCCGAACATCCGTGTGCCTGCCGCTGGACCCTGATCTTCGACAGGCGCATTCGCACTTTTGGTCGCCAACCAACATGCCCGGCTTTTTGGATCTTCCACTTGAGCTCCGAAACCATGTATACGAGGTGTTGCTCAACGAAGAGCTGGGTCGTTCTTTTCGTGGGGTCATGGTGGTGTCAGAGCATTACGTGAGGAACGATTTACCGCTTCGGTGTTATCGCGGGCTGCTCCGCGTGTGTCGCCAGACGCATGGAGAGTTTAAGCAAGCAATCCAACACCTGGTCGCTGCGAAACGCTTAAACTACGAATTCGACATTACCTTCTCACATGGCCGGCCGTACTTCTCGTTGAGCTGGGTTCAATTTGCGGCGCTTTCGCCTACCATCAATCAACTTCTTATCAACGTCGACTTGCGCACAAGAGAGCCCCTCCGAGACGGGCCGCGCGAATCTTTTGTTCCTCATGAGCATGAGCTGGCTCATTTGTTGGAGCACTCGCCGACTTGTTTTGCCAAGCAGCTCTTCGATTACATTGCTATCTTCCTGAAGACACTTGCGAATCTATTATTCCAAGGCAACCCTCACTTCAGTGTGCTCTACACTGAACGCATGATCTTGAACTTGCGTACGCCAACGAAAGTGGTAGCACTTGGTGGAAACGGTCACAATCCAATCACCCTGTCGCGGCGGCTTCGTGTCGACCAAGCCGAAGCCCGCAAGTTGCACAACACTATGCGCAACACTCTCCAGATTACGTCGAATAACTTCAAGGCATTTGATGCAAACAACTGTGACCGGCTGTTCCCGCTGATACAGATTGGTTCTTTGCGGTTTGCGACGGAAGGGGTGATATGGGGAGAAGGACACAACTTAGTACTTGCGCATGATGACTTCCAGTGGTTGCGATATTAGACACACTGATATGACTACATAGAGCTCACATGTTTCAAACCTTGCTGGCATGAGTCACTAAGATGTCTACATGAAGTTTGATAAAGTCAATCTATACTGTAAAAAATCATTAAGATGTCTACATGGGGTTTGGCAAACTTCAGTTTTCACTATCTATCAGGTATGTAGGGGTCTGGCCGGTACATCATCTTGATATTCTTCTGCACAAAATCTATGTAGTCCTAAACGACATCCATCAAATCAGCAAGGTCATCCACATCAGACGACGTCTTGCCCCTCGCCGCCTTCTTCCTCGCCCTCCACGCCTGCTTCCGCGTCTTGTCTTTCACCTTCTTCTGCACCTTCTTCTCCTTGGCTAGCGCCATCTCAGCCGCCAAGCTATCCGCCTTCTCATATAGTGTGCCGATCACGTGCACAATGTCTTCATCCCGCAACAATGCGTCATCCGTCTCATGGTCTCCCAGACCAGAGAGGCGCGCATTAACGGCTTCGACGAGGTACCTGCGCACTAGGCGCGCTGAACCGTGAGTGAAAGAAGAAAGTACGACGAGAAGACTGAGGACCTTGGCGGACATCTCGTCGTTGACGGGCTGCATGGTAGGTGGTAGGAGCACCTCCCATTTCTTGCCCCAGTTCGTGAAGATAGCCGTTCCGAGGTTTTGCTTAGTGTCCATGTCCTCAGGAGCGGCAGCGGCGATGTCCTTCAACTCCTGTTGAACGTCGACGTACGGGCGTGTGATGCGGATTGTGTTCACCAGGACGGAGTCTTCAGCCTTTGTGCCGAGGCTGGTGATGTGTTCGCACCGCTGTGAGTCGTTGAGTTCCTAAGCATTCAGTCAGTCTTTGCTAAAGGCAGTTCAATAGGCAGCGACTCATACCTTCCACGGCTTGCCATAACCGTCAGCCCATGCGTCGGTAATCTTCTCCATCTCTTCGCCATTGTAGAAGATGCAGTTCCTAGGCGAGTAGGGCACCATGATCTCGAACTTTTCTGTAGCGACTTGGACAAGGTCGCCGGGTTTGCAGGCGCAGATGTCATCGATTGGGTTGCCGCGGATGTCATAGGTGGCGACGTAGTCGATACCGAAGAGCGAGCGAATGTCCTGGAGGATCTCATCGTGCTTCTTGGAAGGCACGAGACCGAAGGCGCTCTTGGTCTTGTTGATGGTGGGGCAGTGAAGAGCTATTGAGAGACCCATGGTGGCGTTGACGTGGTAGTAAGCGCAAAGTGAAGGTAAAGGACGCCAGATTATGAGAAGACGCAAGGGTGAGAGAAAAGTCTGGAAAGCTTGGACGCGCTAGAAGATTCTTCGTTCGAAGGTGAAGGTGAGCGTTTGCATTGTGCGACAGTACGTCACCGTTGCCTGGCGAGCGCTCCTCCACCGCTTCGCCTTCACTGCGAGCAGAGTCTAGAGGTCTAGCGAGTGATCCACTGTTGTTACCCGCAGCAACCTGGTATTGCCTATATATTGCTTGTAATATCGTGAGTTTTCATAAGAACATTCCGGGTGGTCGAATGGGTTCAACGGCGAGTTTGAGACACTCAAAGCTGTTCCTCCTAGATCACAGCTTGAAAACAGAAGACGGGTTTGATACACCCAACCAAGTAGATAGCACCGATCAAGGATATTCTTTTTTGCTGTAGAGTTCGATTCTAGACTCTAACATAAATTATTTTTGTTCTGCTAGATTCGATTCACGACCGTGTTTTGCCTCTTTTTGCGCAACTTCACAGGCTCAGTCATTATATATGTCAAAATGCCAAGAGGATTTGACGTATTGAAGCAGACGCAAGGAGCTCTTATAGTAGGACAACAAATGCTGCAAGTGACTAAGGTATGTAAACGCCCGGCTATCAATCGCTAAAACCCTCAAACTCATCCGCCGCCTCTTGGGCTTCCTTCTCTGCGACCTTCTTCCTAACCTGGTCAATCATACCCTTCACCCTCTCTTCCTCTTTCCGCTCATCCTCCGTCAAAGCCGCAACACGGTCATGTTCGCGCTTCGCTGCCTTCTTCTCTCTCCTTGACTCCTTGAGCGCCTTCGCGTCCTTCTGCTGCGTCCACGCCGACGCCTTCTTGTCTTCCGTGACATATCGCTTGTTGCCTTCTTTCTTCCCCTCTGCCTTGTTGGCTTCGTACTCGCTCTGCTCGACCTGTCGTTGTGCTTCGCGCGCCTTGTCTTTGTACGCGTATGTGCTGAAATCCATGACTACGCCTAGACTGCGGTCTCCGTCCCATTTCTTCAGCTCAGGCATGCTTGGTAGTTTGAGGAGACCCCAGGCGTTGCCGTGTTCTGTCCAGTCGAGATCGGGGATGCGGAAGATGGAGCTGGCGGTGTGTTTGCTGTAGGCGCGCACCCAGGAGACGAAGCCTCGTTGTGCTTTGTCGAATAATGCTCTGTCGGATTTGACCACCTTTCGTATCCGATTGCTCATTGCTGTGGCTTCTTCCGCGGTTACTGTAACTTCAGGTGTCGTTAACGGCGATACTGGGGTCTGTCGAACACGGAGGAACTCGATGTAATCTTCTTCTCGGCCCGGGCTGAGGAATGTGACGGCTAGGCCTTTGCGACCTGCCCGACCTGCGCGGCCGCAGCGATGAATAAAGGTTTTTGGGTCGCTTGGTGCGTCAAGTTGAAGAACCAGGTCCACTGACGGGATGTCGAGACCACGGGCAGCGACGTCTGTGGTGAGGAGGATGGATGGTGTGACACTCTCTACAAATTTGATGAAGTTGCGGTTCCTAACCTTGTCCGGAAGTTTGCCGTGCAGGGGCACGATCGTGTATCCTTTCAGAACTTCAGGTAAAATGTGTTGGAAGTAGTCGACTGAGAAACATGTCGCCAAGTACATGATAGACTTTTGCGGCTGCGGATCCAATGACTTTAAGACTTTCTTGATGGCGGGTAGCTTGTGCGATGCTGGTATGGTCAGATATGTCATCTGCAAGCTTGCTGGCGTTTTCTTGTCTTCGATGGCGCCCATTTCTCCTGTCGCACTATTGGGTGCCGCTCGTGCCTTGACCTTGACAGCGATACGGACGGGATTTCGGAGACCCACGCGAATGAGCTGGTCCACAGCCTCAGAAACACTAGCACTAAAGAGACCGGTTCGGCGTTGCTTTGGAAGTCGTGAGAGGATCCTTTGTAGGTCATCTTTGAAGCCAAGGTCTAAAAGACGATCCGCTTCATCGAGTACGAGGGCATCAAAGGATGACTGCGAGCAATGTACATGCGGAGAGGAAAGGAGTTCAAGTAGTCGTCCTGGTGTGCCGATGAGTACGTTGGTAGATGATTTGAGGAATCTGCTCAGGTCCTGAGCGGGCGTTACTGATCCTCCGAGAAGAAGCTGGGGTATGACCTTCAACGTCCCGGGTGGAAAGGTGGGTTTTGGCGGTGCATCAGCGTCTTCCATGTCGGTATCTTCATCTTCCGGATCCAGTAAGGCTGCAGAGGGCGCATGAAATCTGAGAAGCGACGAAAGTACTGTGTGGATCTGGGTTGCAAGTTCTCTGGTAGGTGAGATGATAATGGCACCCACGTGATGCTTTTTTATAGGCGCATCCAGTCGCAACAAGCGCTCGACGATGGGAATGAGATAACTACGAGCTTGTTAGATGCGCATAAAGATTGGCAATGTATGACCTTACGCTAGAGTCTTTCCACTCCCTGTGACGGCCTCAACTACAACATCAGAGTTCTTCATGAACATGGGGATGGCTGCGTGCTGCACAGGCGTGGTCTTTACGAAGCCCATGGAATCCACAGCTTCGAGAATCCATTCTGACAAGGCAGGCGTTAATGCGCTGAATGAACGATCTATCTTAGTTTGGGGCGCCATGATGCACTATGATCTCGTGAAGATGTCTGCTGGAGTCGCGATGGCTGTACAGAAAAGTCGCGCGAACTTTGAAAATAAAGTGGAGCACTGCACGGCCACTTCCAAGGTTTGCGCCACACTGTCGTCCACAGGCAGATACGCTCGAGAACACGCGGGGCCGTCAGCTGTCACTGCTTCGAGTGCATCTGACAAAAGCTTGATTACTCAAAACATGATGCATCCAGTTCGCGAGCCTGTAATGACACACTGACACCGTGTCTCCTTTCTCGAACCTGATCGCATCGCCAAGGCTGATCCGCCGCCACGCTGATCATAGGCGCATTCGCGAGACCGGATCATACATGCGTAGCCGTGAGACCAAATTTCCCAGGCTCATGCAGCAAGATTACAGCCGTCACGCCCCGACCCCTTCCCTGTTCACCCGCCTATAACAAATAAGACGACCGCTGCTGTCGCCTGCACGCACTGTGGCATCTTCTGCCTCCCTAAACGATGCGCGCTGCCCGGACGAATCCGCGGGCCATGAGCCTCTGATCACGCCTGATGCTGACATCAATGTCGAAGCCACCCTAAGTGCCGCCCTCCCACATGTTAGCTGTGACGCGCCAACCCAGCCTCATTACCTTTATTCCCAACCCTCGGATCGCCAGTCCCTGCTGGTAAACATCGCCCTACTCTGTGCCAGGGCCCACTCCACTCTCTCCGGCGTCATCCGGGCTCCTACTTTCCCTTACTTTCCCACCTGCTGGCGCGTAGCCATGGAATCTTCACGCCAATACCAGATCCCCAACACGCCGCGTGTGATCTCGCCGTCACCAACGCCCTCGGAGGCGGGTAGCACGAAAGATGGTTATTTTGGACCCGTGACGCGCTCTTCGACGCGCAAACAACGGGTTACGTCACCTCCACCTATCGATGAGGACTCGGGATCAGACCCCGACAGCAGGGCTCGAGCAAGGAGTCGGAATGCCAGAAGCCGGAGTCCTGTCCTAGAGGGAGGCGTAGGACGGCGGAGGATGAGCGGCCTGACAAGTCGCAGGCAGATGAATGGAGGCATGAAGAAGGATCTCGCGCTGCCGGGCAACACTTCAAACGGCCACCTGTCACCCGCGCAAGCGAACAAGAATTACTGGAGGGAGATGAGCAGGAGTCCGAGTCCTCTAGGCTTGATTCCCATCCACCAGAAATGGCGTTCATTCGTGAGTACACACATGGTGATTTCGCAAGCTCATCACTGACGTCGACAGATTCACCGGCATGAGATTCCTCGCAAGATCCTCCACGTCTCCATCGGCTTCCTGACCATCTTCCTCTACTGCACCGGCACGCAAACGTCGCAGATACACAATGTCCTCCTTACCATGCTGATACCCATCGCCCTCACCGACGTCATCCGACACCGCTACTGGCAAGTGAATCGCTTCTACATCCGGTGTCTCGGTGCCTTCATGCGCGAGTCAGAGGTCGATGGATACAACGGTGTCATCTCCTACCTTCTGGGCGCATGGATAGTCATGCGCTTTTGCCCAAAGGACATAGCAGTCATGAGCATCCTACTACTAAGTTGGTGCGATACCGCTGCTTCGACTTTCGGCAGGCTCTGGGGCCACCTCACGCCCAGAGTCAGGAAAGGCAAGAGTCTTGCGGGTTCCATCGCGGCGTGCGTAACGGGTGTCATCACGGCGGCTGTATGGTGGGGCTGGCTAGGTCCTCTCTACTCAGAGTACAACCATGGCGAATACGCTTTTGCATTCCAAGGCGCCCTGACGCTGCCTCCACAGATGCGGGAAACCTTTGCTCTCTCTGTGAAGCAAGCTTCCCTTACCGGATACTGGGCTTTGGGCGCCATGTCTCTGGCGTCTGGTATCATCGCCAGTGCCAGTGAAGCGATCGACGTTTTTGGCTGGGACGACAATCTCACCATCCCCGTGCTTTGCGGAGCCGGGCTATGGGGCTTTCTCCGGATCTTCGGCTGATCAAAGCTCCCTACATGTACGATTTTACGTTTTGTCTCTTCTAGAGTCTTGCAATTTCCAATCTATATCCCCTTTGGATCAAATGATACCCTAGATACGGGTCCTCGGGGAGTGGCATCGCATCTGTCATGGTTACGACGGCGTTCTGGGACGTAATGGGAACTGGGCAGACGGAGATGGACGGGTTATGGGCGAGTAGATCGGGACATGAATCGGTATACCTATATAAGCAAATAGTGATCTTCCTTGCAGCCACAGAAGCTACTTTGGTGTGAAGGCGTCGTAGGGCTTATCGAGTTTCAAGCCGAGGTCCAAATTCTCACGTTGCTCATCTACCAAGCACCGAATCCAGCTCTCCCACACGCCTTTAGGGCTGACTATCGGCAAGCACCCGTCCTCAATGCAGAGCAGACGCAAAAGGGAAGGCCTGAATACCCTGGAGGACCCCTGCAAAGCGGTATTCGACTTGGCGCATACCGCCACATGCGACGCGGCCATTGGAGCATGCCGCAGACTTGCTTCTTCATATATGATCACGCTCACTCACGCTCATTAACAAGACTCACGGAGACACTCTGACTCTTGCGCATACTCCTACCCAGCCAGATATCCCCTACCCTCGACTGCCAGCGAGCCCCCTGCCGATCGCCCGCAGCTTGCCCCGCCACACCCGCCGTTAAGAGCCCTCCACGTCCTGCGCCCGAACGCGCCTCTGGAATCTCCACCTACCCTCTTTCCGCAACAGAACCGGCGCACACAAAACTTCCCTCACGCAAGAACATCTGCATCCGGATCGCTGTAGAACGTGTGCAATCTCTGCGTCGCAGCTGTTATAACCGTCTCTTCGGCTGCGTTCCCCCACCCGTTCCCGATCACTCTGCGCATACCGAGGGTTCGACTTCGAGCGCCACTTCACATACACATACGCGAAGAGAAGGGTACTATGGCTTCGTCATCTGCGGCAGCGGGGCTGCTGGCTCGCCAACTCAAGCAAATGCAAAATGACAAGAGTATATCGGGCATTAGCTGCGGTCTGGTGGACAATAATGTGTTCGAGTGGGAGGTAATGCTGATGATCGACGACGACACAAAGTTCTACGGAGGTACGGACCCAGACACAGTCTTCCCAAGTAGAAGCTCTAGTACTGACATCACACATAGGAGGTTTCTTCCGCGCGCGCCTCACCTTCCCCAGCGAATACCCCCTCCTCCCTCCAAAGATGCGCTTCGAGACACCCATCTTCCACCCCAACAGTACGTCTCGTTTCTCACAAACCCCTCACAACTCGAATCGCATAACTAACACCTCCCAGTCTACCAAAACGGCGAAGTATGCATCTCGATCCTCCACCCACCCGAAGAAGACAAGTACGGCTACGAGTCCGCCGCAGAACGCTGGTCGCCCGTACAAACACCCGAAACGATTCTTCTCTCCGTCATTTCCATGCTGTCGAGCCCGAACGACGAGAGCCCGGCGAATGTGGAGGCGGCGAGCTTGTGGAGGGATAATACGCCCGAGTTCAAGAAGAGGGTGAGGAAGTGTGTGAGGGATAGCTTGGATTATGAGTGAGGTGGATGATCAGGGTGAGAGGGTGGGAGGCAAGTGTCTTTTGTGATAGCATAAGCGCGGACGGGTATTTGGGTAGGCGATTATCTGATTGTGTCATGGCTTGCATGGCGGTGTTTTTGACTGTTCTCAGGGAGGCTTGAATGCATATGATAACTTCTTCCGTGAGTTCGTTAATGGTATTGGTGTCATGGGATTGTCGTAAGAGTCGGAATCTGTTATGGTGCTTCATCATAGGCTTTGCGGACTCTATGTGCGCAAGTGGTTCTAGACTCATCGAACCGGGAATCACATGGAGAGTCATCATTCGACCGGCGGAAGAATGTCAGTGAGTAAACAGGGTCTCAAAGCGAATTCACGAGGCGAGGTCTAAGATGTAGCTTGGAAAAACAGGTATCTCATTGTATCATACACACCTCCCTTCCTATCAATCATCCTTCTCCAAGTATATCTATAAATAAACTATCCCACCTAAAGGAGTGGTAGGCAGTGACAACAAGAACAATAAACCCCCTTGCCCTACATCTCAGCGATGTCTCGTCCGCCACTCATATACATCCACTCTCTAGATGGTCCACTGCTTCAGCAGCGAACCTACCATGCCCGAATGCACCTCTGTCTTGGATTTGGGTCCGACATCTTGAAGGTGTAGAAAGCTTAAGCAGCAGTGCAAAGCAATCCATCAGCACCAAGCGGGACAATGCAGCACTGAGCCGTCGTGCCGTCCTCAGCGCAAGCAGCTTGGAAGTCCTCTGTTGTTTCGATACCAGCGCCGGCTGTCATACACATTAGCACTCATCCTCCTCACTTCAATGGACTGGATGTCGTAACGTACCGTTCGCGCAGTTCAAGTTGGCAACACCAAGGACATCAGTCTGGCAGCACAATGGCGTGGCGAGGCCACCGCAGATCTCGCTCTGGCGAGCCTGGACGGAGGTGGCAGAGTAGGGGAAACGCTTGGTGACTGCGGCGGCGGAGGTGAGGCTCAGGAGAGCGGTGAGGGTGAAGATGGTGAACTGCATTTTGGTGGTCTGGTGGTTTGGGTTGGGTTGGTTGTGGTGTAAAGGTGTTGTAGATGATGAGATGAGAACTGTTGTGATGATGAGTCTGTTCTGGAGGGAGAAGCCTTGTGCTTATATATCTCTGATGGACAAGATGGCGGAGATGATTCCTTTGCCTACAATGCTCTTCTCTTTCGTGCCCCTTGTGCTGTTCTGTGCTACGCTGCCTACCTCCAGCCTCGATCTTACCGATCTCATCCCATGCTCCCACGTCCAAGACCACGACACGTCGATCAACATCCCCAATCCCCTCCTCCCCATTTCCTTTTCGTCATTACATCCCACAAACTATCCAATGCTCGCCGACCATTTAGGCCTGTCGCTGATTGTTCACAGTCTGTAATCCACGACCAGCTATCAGCCACCACGCCGATCTCCATGAGGCTTAGATACCCAGTGACGATCCCCATCCGCCAAGTACGCCCAATCTACCTCCCCGTACGCCACGTAGTCTACAAGCAGATACGTCACGCCGTTTTGGGTGAAGGTTTCCCTCTCTGTCTGGCCACCTACCCTGCGTTACCGTGCAGAAAAGGCAACGACATATGTGGGGACCCTGATGAACGGCAGGGTAGTGCTTTGGTGTTTAGTGTTTCGCAGCGAGCTAGGGACGAAGCGACGTGTAGATCTGATAAGCTCCTGCTTTCGACATCTGCCTAGCATAAGCAATGCTTGTGGGAGGGTTTGGGCCGTCGGCGAGAACTAGAAGAGTAATCTAGGTTCTTGGAGATGTTTGGTAGTGGTTAGGGGTAGTGTTATCGGAGGGTTGTTTGTTTGGTTCTGTCCCGCATGATCGCTGCAAAGAAAAGTGTGCGGTGGAGTTGTAGGTAGTGAAGGTTTTGTGTGTGAGATTCGGTGGTTAAGGTCATGGCAGAGATGGCCAGGTGGTGATCTCCTTCGATACCTTCAGAGTTTGAAACGGTACCTGCATACTCAGCCCCAGAAACACCCACGACCTGACAGACAGATTCGGTATGCCTGTCATTGATGTTAGCCACGTTATCTCCCACATCTTCCAATCTCTGTGACAAGCGAGCCACGATCAACGATCCAGTCACCTCGGCGATCTTCCCCACCCACCAATACCAGCACCAACACTTCCAATCAACCCATCGATTCCATCAATGTCAACACCAGAATTCCGTAACAACAATAACACCTCCACTCCTCCATCCACCCTATCTCTCCATCCTCCCCGTACCCACCGTATCGCGTCACCAGCCCCCACACGCTACTACGGCTTGGCGCGGCTGCAGCGTCGATCATGACGGCAGATAGCTACAAGCCTTCCGCCCTGAGCCTATCTCGCTCGGATGCCCGGGTGCAGTACGTACCGCATGCTATCTCTTGATATCAGGGACCGAAAGAAGGAATTACAGTAGTCGCTATTCTGAGAACCGAGGGACGATCACCCACCCACACGCACATGTAAGGGGATATTGGCTCGGCAGTGTAAGACAACGAACAGGGAATGTCACGAGAGAAGTGGAGGAAAGTGAAAATGTCGATTATCTCATCTTGTCTCTTCGTCTGCCCCGATGGAAAGATAAAAGAAGAAGAAAGCACATGGCCAGCATATACTCTCTCTTCATCTCTTCCTTCTCTTACACACGATAATTACCATCTCTCCTTCTACATACATACACATCTCTCTATCTTTCCCACATCATCAAATCGTCAAGGAAATCGGGGGTGGGAATAACGAAGAAAAGAAGAACAACGGCGTATTTACATGTAAACATCCTAGGGTATCAGGCGCCAAAACATCCCGCATCCGTAACAAAACCAAAAAAGCCAAGTAGATCAAAAAAGAGCGCCGGATTGCTGCCAATCCATAAACGTCGAAGCGAGTGGGTGTGTGTTCTCAATGTGGTCATCTCCTTCCTCCAGTCTTATATGTCGTCCCATGGGAAGTCTTGCGGATCGATTCTTGTGCATGTCAAATAGGGCAGTCCGCCTTCTCGTAGGTCGAGTTCGAGGAAGTTGCGCATCAGCGGCTTGACTGCGTCTTTGGCTTTGACCTTGATCTCTTCGATTCTGCGTTCGAAGCGCTTCAGGTTGTCGCGGTTGTAGTGGTCAGGGTTCAGTCGCAGGAAGCGCTTGCATTCATCGTGGTTGAGGTAACTTGAGCCGGCCTGGCCGAGCAAGCGGAATATGCGGCCGGTGTTGAAGACTGGTGGAGGTGGCAGCGGCGCACCGTCTCTCGAGTTCTGGGGTCGTGGCGATTTGAGGATTGGGGCCGGGGGTGGCGTAGTGTTTTCGGCGAGCCATTGTCGGAATAGCGAGACTGCTATCCAGTCCAGCCAGTTGCTCGATGGGCTCACACGCTCGCCGCGACTAGTTGTGAGGGATAGGCGGAAGAGCTTGACTTCAATCTTGGCCTTGAGCTCGTCCATCTCGTCGACTTTGTCTTCTATCAGCTCGATCACGGGCTCAGCGATCTGGCCGCGTAGCTGATTGATGCCTTGTGGCCACTGTCCGACAACGTGCACCATGGCTTCGGCGAAGATGGCTTTACTCCGTGCCATGTAGCCAAGTTTGAGGTAGCTGGGCGGGTATTTCGCGATCTGCTTCCATAACCGGCCTTGGAAACGCAGCAGATGATGGTCTACGCGTGGTCCGATGACGCCAAGCGCGTCGTACATGTCGGCGAGCTGCAGGAGCGATTTGCACTCTACGTAGGCATTCGCGATGTTGAGAGAGTCGAGCGTGGGAGGGTAGTTGTAGAAGATGCGAAACAGGTTGTCGTAGTCGCGGAAGGTGTCGTCGTCGGGGTCGGTCTCGGGAGTGGCTGTCGCGGGCACGTGGAGGGTGGAGAAGTTGGCCATGCTCCGGAAGAAGCCTGACTGCGGTGCGGCAGGCTTGTTGCGCGCAGTAGGGGGTCGCACAGGTGGACTTGGATCGCCGCCAAACATGGTAGGCTGGTTCTTCTGTACTCTCGTTAGCATGGTCGCCGTCGCGGACGGTAAACAAACACACCTTCTGCACGAGCATGGGCAGGTCGTCATCGCCGCTGCCCCAATCCATCTCGTACCTCCATTTCCGCTTCTGCTCGGGTCGTGATCCTGATGGTATCCTCGACAGGGCGGTGCCGTTGCTGGGCCCGGCGTTGGTCACATCACCAGCAGTCGCCCACTCATCGCTCGTGCCAGCCTCGAAGAAGCCCGAGCACTGCGTCAGAATCAACTTGTGCAGCAAATAACGCATTTCCTTCCGCCCATTGCTGATGACGATCTCGACGTCGCCGGTATGCGTAAACACGGGGAACTCATTTTGGGGTGCTAGCGACGAGCCACCCACGTTGGAGCGGTGCTGGCGATGTCTGCGGACGGTGGATGCGCGCGACGAGTGCGACACAACCGACGAGGGACGCCGTATGGGCAGTGAGCGCTCTGCACTCGCCGAGTCTGGGTAGGAAACCATGCGCCGCGACGTTTGCTATCTCGCTGTCCGGGTCTGGTGTTGTGGTGCTCGGGGTGGCCGAAGGAGTGGTTTGCGACAATGATGCGTTCCAACAATATTGCGACGGATCGCGGATGGCTGGAGGCGGGTGACACTGCGAGGGCGGGGGCAGGTGGCGACAGCAACAAAGCTGCGTGGTGCGGTGGTTGCACGCAGCGGTGCAGCTCGCGGTGCAGGCAGGCTGGTGGTGGGCGGCCGGGTTGTTGATGCTGGTGAGCCCTGGAGAGGCTGGTGCGTAGGCCGTAGACGAGAATGGCCCGCTAACCACCCCACCTCGAATGCGATGGCGCCAAAGGTGGACCTTGGCCCAGAACCGGTTCAGCGCGACAGGGTAGACTCTGCTGCTTTGCGACGCATGTGTAGTCTTGAGAAGATGTTTCAGGAGCCGTGCAGCACCAGACAGAAGTGGCTGTGGCGGTTGTTCACATGTCCGCTATCCAATATGCACCTGGCCTCATGCACCCTGGGACCCAGCTCGAA